TTTCTTTTGATCTATGTTGCATATTTGTCTGTTTTATTTATTTATTTATAAGAAAGTTATAGATAAGTAAATAAATGCTAGCAAATGGTATTTTAATTTAAAATCAAAATTAATTTCATAACATATGACAACTGTCACAAATCAAGCCTCCGTGGCTCCCTCCGATCCCCACCAGAGGGAACCCTCACCGGAGTACTAACTGTTCCTTAGGACTTCATTTCCCATCACCCCATGCCTGACATTGATTACTTGCACAGGTGCTGATCATTACCATGACTATATAGGCAGTGCCTACCTTACCCTCATTGCGAAGTCTTGTTTTTGCTACTGCTGACACTACTGAGCGTTCATACCTTGTTTGATTACCTGTTGCCTACCTGGATTGTTTAGACCTGTCTGATTGTTCGCTGCCCGCCTCTTTGACCTTGCTCTGTGTTTGGATTTACTCTCTCCTCTGTCTGCCGCCGGCCTCGACCCCTTTGCATGGACTCTGGTTATGATTCTGCCTTGCCTACGTTACCCCTGTATGCTGTTGACTGAACTCTGCCTGTCTGATTGTTAATAAAGCTGCACATGGATCCCAACGTCAATGAATCATCATTACAACAACGTCATTTTTAACTTATAAGCATGCGCGGCGATCTGTAACTTGCAAAATAAGGTTGATAGTGGCTGCATGTGGGACCACTTTACAGATGACCTTTATCAATCCCACTGTCACACAATGTGGCTTCTAGCAACAAGCATATTTAAATAAGCAATTCTTCATAACAATAGGCCTAAATAGGATTATAAATGGCTTAAAAGTTAGTTTACGTACTAATACATTTCACTTATATTTATTGATAGGTGAAATCAATAAAAATGATGTTCTATAATCCCTTGCTTTTCTGCTTTTGCTTGCTTTCCATGCAATACACTGACAAAAATAGAGCTTGTGGTTTTCTCTTATCAGGAGCGCACAGAACTCATGTGAACTCGCCCTTACGAAAAATAAGTTTATTCAAGTGTGCTATTAGTATACTTCTTTTAAACTAAAAAATAGGAAAGTATACTTTTAGTCTACTTTTTATGTACTTCTCAAACATGTGCTTTATGTACTTCTCAGAAAGATACTTAAAATTACATTTAAGTATACTTGACTTATACTTAGAAAAAGTCTAAATATATGTGAGCTATACTTGTGTTCTTAGAATCCGTGTTTTCATTGTTATACTGTAGAGGTGCTAGTACACATCTTCTGTACAGAATTTCCAAAAAATACAAGTGAAGAAGAAACCGAAACAACAGATGCTTCCACATGTATTCTAGCACAATCACCAGACATAAAACAGCATCAAAACTGTGTAACGTTATGGAATAAAATGTCGACCAATGAAAAGGTAATAATGAATGTCAAGCTTTGGGGTGTTGATCGACTTTATCTACGTTTTGATTATCATTCTGAATCCAATTCATAGTCTTTTTTCAGCTTTTTGTTCAAAATGTTTATTTATTTATTTATTATTATTTATGAAACTTATCCACATTCAAGTGTTTTAAAAAAGAATGCATGAAGCTAGAATAAAATGTTTTTGTTTACAAGCAGATACCCTGTTCTTTTGATGTTTTGTATGTTCAGATATTCATGTAACAAAATATATTCAAATTAATACCTAAATAGGGACATAGTAGTATACTTCAAGTATGATGTAAAGTTCACTTAAAAAACAACTTACGAGTATACTTGCAGTATAAAACTACTAAACTAGTAGTTTACTGAGACTATACTTCAAAGTGTACTAAAAATGCTACTACATGTATTTAATTAGTAAACTATCAGTATACCTAGAAGTTAACTTTTAGTATAGTTGCAGTACAAACTAAACATTTTGATGTAAACTAGTTGTATACTCAAAGTTTACTACTGTTATACATAAAGAATACTTTTATATACTAGAAAGTGGGCCAATTTAGTCCCAAGGAGTATTGAAATAAGGGCGCATTAATTTATTTAATGCAAGTGAACTGCTTTTCACATAACAAAACAACGCTGTGCAAGGTGAGAAAGACAACAGAACCAAATTTAAACGTGTCCCCATGATAATGCCTTGTTTACTATATTTTCTATTTAATGCTGTATATTAAATATAAAATAATCGTAATCACTGATTTTTGAACAAATTATTTTTTTATTTGTAACCAAAATTACACATTACGCCCAATATTCAGTGCATAAATGCAGCTTAAGATCACAATACAGTATAGTAAAGCTCTTCAGGTTTAAAAAAAAAAAAGACAGGAAAAAAACACACAACAGAATGAATACTATAGGACACAACTGCTTTTAAAACCCTTTCTACTATTAATTACACAATGTAAGCAACTGAATTCCCTTTTATAGGTTTTAAGGCCCCTTTGGAAAGAATAAAGTACTGGACATATTTATCAGATTAACAATGGCTTATCAGCCTATCACAGAAAATGCATTAGATGTGTGACAGAGAGTGAAGAGCACTTACACTTAAGATGGATCAACAGTAGAGTATGCACATCCGTCTGTAATGTCAGTATAAGGATAGGTTCTTTAAAAAAGGTAATTAGTATACAAATGCAGGCTAAATAAGGCATGTACTAAGCCAATTGTTTGTCTGGTTCTATTATGATGCAGAACATGTGATGGCAACTTCAACTTGTGTTAGGATGTGGCATACTGTCCCTGCATAGTAAACATTGTTTGAACAGATCCTAGGCCATCCATGTTCATCAGTATACATAAGTAACATTCACTTAAGACATACATAACAGCATTAAGATTCCTGTAAACTGGAATTACTGGTATTCTCATAAATCACGACTTGTAGGCCTCTATAGTGACTGGTACCCATTACTCCTCCGTTTCCTGCTGATGAGGTAAGCAATGACTACAATGACGATGAGTATGATGAGGATTATGCCCACGACGATGGCAACACGGTAGTCACGTTGATCAGCCTTGCATACTTCAGCTGTTGTACAAACACAAACAGAGCACAATGAACTTGTATCTCATTGTAAGAAATGCAAATGAAGTCAGTATTGTAGTTGAAAAAATTTAAAGCTGGTATACACTACACGACTTTTCAAATCTGAACAGATTTTAAAACACTAGGCATCATATGCTTACTGACTTTGTAAATGCTTACAGAGGAAAAAATGGCCATCATGCACTAAACAACCGAGGACTTACAAGTCGTTCTGAACACAACAAACTCACGCAGAAACGTGTGTCATTGCTTGGAGATACATGACAAATGAAAACAATATCCCTATGTCCGAATATGCCCACTTCCATACAATATAGTAGGTGAAAAACAGTATGTGAGCCGAGTGGTATTTTCAAATTCACAGTATTCATAAAACAGTATGCAAAAAGTACATTGATGACCTACTACTTCTGGTGAGATTCTGAGAAGTGCATCTGATGGACACTTTACTAGCGCATTAGGCCACGGAAGTGGATTTGTGAATGGCAGTGTAGCAATGCAAATGACAATGTAATAGGACACATGACAGCGACAACATGGTGGATGTAGTGTGGTCGCTGTCATGTGTCCTAAATGGTCACGAAGCAAGTTTATTACTATACACGATTCAATTTTGGACACAGTGTATGTGTTCTAAAATAAGCTCAAAATATCAACTGCATGTATTTCTGTGCAGTCTGTCCAAATCCCACATACTGGCCGTGACTTTCGACAGCTAGCATTGATTCGTCCAGACTGCAAAATGGGGCATAAGCTGTGCAGTGTAGTCCAACCTTAAATTGCAATATTTGAATAGAAACACAAACAGATATACACAATACTTATACACAGGTGGTCAGTAACAACTGCTCAGTTGTGTTGAAGATAATATTTTTCATTTACATGACTTTTAGAGCTTACAAATCGTGTCAAATATTTAAAAATAAAAAGAATAATAAGAGTTAAATAAAAAAAGTAGCAGACTTTCATTTAAAAAAAAAAAAACATTCTCGGAATAAGATCCACATTAGTTAATAGGTGGCCTTTGGACTTTATAACAGGCAGACATCTCCTTAGTACCAATTGTTTAAAAGTCATTTGGCTGGTCTAACCAGCTCTTTTGCATTGCCATGACACTTTTGCTACGATCTTTGTAAACAAGCTTTATGAAGGACATAAGTTATACAGTGCATAAAAATGCAAGGAGTCCAGTTCAATAGCAACTTAACTTATAAGCTTGTAACATAAAGTAAAGGTTACTGTCATCCACTACAAGGATGGAGTGCTTTAAGATAATGAAGTGTCATCACTCTATACTTACGTGATCCGAATACGTTGTTTTTGATATCGAAGGCCTGAAACCTGTTTTGGGTCAGATCCAGACTCACACCGCCTCCCATGTACACGGTCTCAGCCTTGCATGAATAAGAGTGACCCAGATCCACAGAAAACAGCTCAAGAGACCTGTTCAGCCCTGTGTAATTGCTTAACACTTTGTTGACAAAAATAAAAATTATTTGATCAGTGTTGGCATGGATGTGCACAAAATGATAAAAACATTAACCAAGTCTCTCGCTGTTCTTAATTCCACAAACTTAATTGTGATAACAGTAGTCATAATTATAGCCAAAACGCTTCTATAAGCACTCAATTCATTCACACAGACATAAAAACTCAATATCTATGAGTCCTTATGCAACGTCATAAAATTATTGTTTTTAAATTCAAAATGAAATGCATGTACACACATGGATTTTTTTTTTTTTACAGTAATGATATTTACTGTAACCAAAAATAATACTAATACTTCCTTATTCTTTCTTGGAAGAATGTGACGTTTATTGTTGCTAAACTGGTTGACCTGCATGGCCTACTGTTTGTTTTATTGAGGGTTGGCTATTTATGCCATTTTAAAAAGATTCTGAAGCAAGAAATCTGTCTTCAGTAGATTTTTGAATAAACCAATAAGTTAAATATTATATAAAACTTATTACAGTTAAAATAGACCAATACTAAAATGTAACCTCTTTATTTAGATACACTCTTTATTTAACTATACAGATAAAAGTCCGGGGAATAAACTGCAGAAAACTGAAGATGTGTGTTGTTGTGGGTGTTTTACAAGGAAAATAGCACTAGTCATATATGACAGGGTATTTACCTCCTGTTTTGAAAGCATAGGTCAAGTCGTATTGGATAAACTCGACAAAGACCTTTTTCGTTGCATCATTCTACAAAGTAGAAAAGATTTATATAATTAAAGATTATTATAATGGTAACCCAAAAAATACATAAATGCAACTGAATAAGAACATAATGTATCACAAAAAAAATACATATTTTAAGTCACAACAAGGTGCACAACAAAATGATGAACAAACCTGATCCGTAATGAGTAACAAACACTATCTAAATAGCTGCAGAATACTGATACGATGTGTATCGCAATCAGTCTGCGAACACCTGGTGCCTCCCTGTGAGCCTGTCGGTTAATTTGTTGCTGGGAGGCGGCTCAGGTTTATACCAGACAGAAATAATGCAGTCTTTTATACTTCCTCCTAAAGTGCCTCAGAGTTCCGTTTTTCAGACCACACAAACTCAAGTTGTATTGAAAGATACATTTCTTTTACCAATAAAGACCACTTTCCTGATAAAGACTAACCGCAATGCTAAAATAATTTTCTAGATTTAAAAAAAAGTTTGATATAGCTTATTAAATCTTTTGTTGCCACTTACCACATTTGAAACACATCATTGATAAACATTTCATCATACATTGTTTAGAATAGACTATTTGTGAAAATCCATAAACAGACTTACTTTATTAAATTTTAAGGAAATTCCACCTTCACCAAAATTGAGAATGATAGAAGCTACATTTTGCGAGCATTCTCCATTGAAATTAGTTTTGCTTGGCTGAACAATGAATGTGCCATTAACCTAGAGAGACAGAAATGCTTTAGAACAACAGATAATATTTATATGGAACGTGGAAAATTAACAAGGTGACAATGTGAAACATATAAGTGATTTAGATATAAGCTGAACCCCATTTGAATGTAGATCAGTCATACCAAATCTTACCATGCTGGTGTTCACACGGATCCCGATTGCCATGTCAAGCATAATACATAGTGAGCCTTTTTCATCAGTAACATTATAATTCCCCACTGTCATGTTGGTGGATGGTGTTGGCACTGGTAATGGTGTAGTAGTAGTGGAAGGTGCAGAAGTTGTTGTGTTCGGGCTGTGAGTTGTCGTGTTTGGACTGTGAGTTGTCGTGTTTGGACTGTGAGTAGTCGTGTTTGGACTGGGAGTAGTTGTGCTTGAATTTTGGTTCAGTTTGTTCAGATTGATGGTTGTTGGGGTTGCGCTGAGCGCACCTGAGGTGAGAGCTGAGGAGAAAGATGCAGACAGAGAATGTAAGAAAATTTGTTTCCAAATGGGAGCTAAATCTGACAAAACCTTCAGTGAAATCCTCAATTAGATAATAATAATAATTACCTTATTGTTTGATTAAAGGAAAAATAGACACTATACACAGAGCCTCCATCTGTTCTGCACATGGAGTGCTATTTACATACATTCACTTCCTCCCTAGCGCGCGCTGTCACAAGTGTAGTGTCACACGTCAACATTTCCCAACAGGGAAATGTGATACTTCACTTCTGCCGATTTCACGTGATGTCTGATCGTTAGATTAGCCGCAGAATACAAATGTAAGTGCTGACAATGTGACTGACACTCTCTTTGTTTTTGTTTTTTGACAACAAGGTACGCTTGTGTAGCTTCACTTGAGGACTGAACTGCACTTAATTGTCCGTTTTAGATAGGCTATTAAGAGAAGTAAGAGAAAATATACAAAAAAAAATAAAATACAAGTGTTGAAAGATTACTGAATTGCACTGAACTGTGAGGAACGATTATAATTAAGTATGGTACTGTGTCCGAAAAGGTTTTTTTTTTTTTCTTTTTTTTATAATGCTTTATTGTCAACAAGTAGCATGTACAGTGCCATATCTCACTATATAACAAAAACATTTCACATGCCTCAACAAGAAGGAACAAGGAAAAGAAAAGAAAAAAGGGAAAAGAAAAAAAGAGGGTACACTGTAAAAAAAATTCCGTAGAATTTACGGTAAAAAACCGGCAGCTGTGGTTACCGGAATTTTACCGTAAAAAATACGGTAGCAATGTTTTAGGTTTTTATGGTTTTAACTTAAATTTACAGTTAAATACCGTAATCTCATTAACTGTTATAATGTTAATATACCAACCTATTGAAGTACTGAAATCTGTTTTGTACCTTTGTAATACACTGATAACCACCAAATGCAGGTGGTGATGAGAAAGTCACATGATGAACCAAAGCCCATCACAAGCAGCTTTTAAATAATAACATATATAGAAGGTGCACAGTGTCATTCACACAAACACCAAACACCATCATGGTAACACACATGAAACTGAAATAATGCAATAAACATTCATTTAACAACATTAAGTGTAACACACAACCCTAATATACAAAACTGATAAGAAAAAAACTAAGAAGAAACAGTTATTTCAACAAAAAAACATTTTAAAATTTGAAATGTAACGCAGGGAATTCTGGGAATGTCAATTTACGGTTATTCACTGTAAATTATATGGTATTTTTCACTTCCAAAAACGGTATACTATCGTAAAATCTATGTCCAATACATGTAATGTCCAATACAGTTTTTCACCGTATATAGTAGGGGAATTTACCGTTAACCATTTCACAGGTTTTTACTGTAGCATTTATACAGTCTTTTACCGTTAAATTCACGGTCATTTTTTACAGTGTACATAAGCATCAGTTTACAGACAAATACATATTACACATATATTTACAAGTCCATAGGATGTTACAATGCCAATTTTAATACAGAAAATATACTTTGCAGGTCAGCACCATTTATTATTATTATTGTTTTTTTTAACATTATGTGAAAATGTTAAAGGAGGAGCATATATTAATCGTTTTAATTGCTTTACTATTTTTAGATTTTGACATCACATCTACAAACATTTGAATCTCTTTTTCAAGCACCATAAAAAGAGGTTGGCCTTTTGTAAACTTGCATCTATGAATGTGAAATTTACATGTGTCCGAAAAGGTGCGCTAAAACTGAGTGCTTTTTGCAATAAGGAAGTGGTTGTGGACCTATATATAACTGAAACGTATTTTTTTAATTTTGACCTTAGGTTTTGTTTTACCAGCGTATGGATTTAGCTATTCAATTCTAACATAGAATCGAAACTACAGTGTTTTGCGAAAAGTATGCCAAATTAAAAAAAAAAAAAATCTCTTTCCTGTCTTTTTAAATTAAAATCGTTCTCTTGAGTAAAACCTGGGGTCAGATTTTAAATGTGATTTTAGCTTACAGTTATATGTTGGAACACAACTAGCCTACTTCCTTATTGCTGAAAAAAAGTTTTTTTTATTGGTTTGCACCTTTTTTGGCCATAGTACAATAATGTAGTATTCTGTCAAGTTCCTTACAGTACAATGCAATTCGATCTTTCAATACTATTGTGTGTCAAAGTACATAACTACCACAGTGAGTATTTAACTAATGGTGAACACACGGTAAATGCATATTTCAAATCGAGTAATGCAATGAAATAATCTGCTTTACCTGTTGCAGCAATGCAAAGCGCGAGCAATAATAATCCGTATTTCATTTTCGCCTTTATTGCGATGTACCTGACACAAAAACTCGCTGGATTGTGTGCTCTATCTGGTGTGGAAAGCCTGTCGCACACTGCACTTACTCGCCTGAAACGAAACCACTGATAAAGTGAAGGAAGTCAATCTTTCAACACTCGTTTTGAGTTTTTGTCCAATCACAACTGAGGCATTCAGCGTCCCAGAAACTCAATACAGTGACCGAGTTAGATTTATAGAAAGCGAAAATTAACAGATGTTAGAATAATCTTGTTTACAAGTTTTCATACTTAGATTCGTTGTTTCATTATATCGCTATCCCCTCATTAAAACGTTTACATATCATGCACTTAAGAAAAAAATGATTGATAGACATTCCCATGAAATATTACTATGAATAAAAGCGGTTTTATTGTACATGGAAGGGCTACTTAAACTGGGCCGCCATGTTGAGATCAAATCTTTAGGCTACCTCATTTTACTGGATATTTTTGTTTTGCAGAATAAATAAATCATGGCTGACAGCAAATTGCATCTTCTACAATGTCAGAAGATTGCATTATATTTCTAGGTGTCATACTTGTCTAGGACAAGTCATATCAGCCAGTGCAACCTTAACAAAAAAAATGGGTCATGTGCTGATTCACACCCCTCTCTTAGTCATACGTACTTTCCTATAAATAAAGACAGAATAATAAATAAATACAAAAGAAAACAACAAATGGCATCAGTTAATTTTTATTTGCCTTGGTAATGCACGTGCAGTTGCTAAAAACTCTTTACAAATTAAACTAAGCAGGAAGTTGTTGTTATTTTGCTCATCTATCATGTGACAAATGCAGGAAGTGAAAATTTGACACCCGTCACCGTGCATGACAGTTACAGAAGGATAATCTGTTTAAGCATGTCTCAATACACCCGACTGTCAAAGTTCTCACACATGCGATTAGATCTTTTACTCTAAATATAGGCCTACATATATCTGAAGTCTAGGAAAATACATTGAAATCATGTAACATGACAACACATGCTTGCTGAGATTTGTTTTATCATAAACTCTGGATCGCATGACTCCCAGGGTAAGGCGGGGAAGTTCTGGTAATTTCATAGTATGTGGAAAAACAAGCACTAGAAATGCTGATCGTAATGCGTTGCATTTCTCATCTTAGACTTGAAGATAGAAGTCACATGCTTTCGCATTTCCAGTGTACAAATTATCTCTTGAATCCTTCAAGACAAAGTGAATGTAAGCGACCTTAAAGCCCTTTATTTCCATTCTGACCGAATTCCTATATTATACAGTACACATCCAGTGCTCTTCCTATCAGTTCTTGTTTGTTTCTTCATCTTCACTACTGCTGGATTCCCCAAACAGGTCTTTTCCACTAGCAGTGCTGGATTTTGTGTGTGCATCTTGCTTGCTGACCGTCATGGAGATTAGAGTAGACATGTCACTAAAGCCCAAAAGCAGTGTGCTGTTGTCAGGTCCATGCAGAGAGATGGTCTGGATCTTAGAGTCAGGTGTGAAGACAGACAACATCGTACCATTGTCCAGGTCCCACATGCTCACTGCTTCTGTTCAACAAACAATTCAAAGGATTGAACGATGCATCCCGTATACATTTTTATCTCATTTTAGTATCTCAGACCCGAACACAAAAAAGGATTAATCTTACTGTGAAGGTGCAAAGACCCTATTCTAAGACATCACCTCCACATCCCATGCTAAACTTTAAAGATTACTAAAGTCTGAATCTTAATCTTGATTTAGATTAAACTGATATCATCTAGAACAAGTCAACACAAGTATGAGCAAAGGCCTGCTGTACCTGATAATAAAATAGCCTTGGATTGTCCTTCAGTGATAAAGAGCAAGCTGGACCAGTTAAGATTTAAACTTCCGTAGCCAGAGATGGTTTTATGTTTCCTTCGGAACGGCTCCCATACTTTTAACCTGAGTTTCAGGGAAAAAAAGTTTTTTTTAAAAGAATGTTTTAAGATAAATGCAACAATAACCCATGTTCTTAAGAGCTACATGTATATAAAAAGCGAAATTTACATACATATCTATGTACACTACTGGTCAAAAGTTTGGAATGATTAAGATTTGACACGTTGTCATTTTAAAATATATTAAAATAGAAAACAGTTCTTTAAATTGAAATAATATTTCACAATATTACAGTTTTACTGTATTTGTGATCAATTAAAACCAGCCTTGGTGAACTTTTGATGATTTTTTAAAAAACATTAAACATTCAAATAACTATTATATTATTTTTATTAATAATTCCAAACTTTTGACCTATAGTGTATATTAAAAAAGCTATGATATAAGTGAACAGGTTTTGAACATTGCAACTGGGGTGGCACATACTTGTTGAATCCTGCAATGCCGAAAACCACTCTGCAGGCATCGTTGCTTATTGCAATGCAACAGATTCCAGGTTCATTTTTCAATCTCTTTCGCACCTTTACATATATAAGGAACATTCATCTTACAGAATATACAGAGAAGATGGATTAAGATGAATTATCTTAAAATAAATACTTATTAAATGTAAAGATTTAACTGTTAGGCCTGAAGCGAGCAATGTGCCCACTTCTTTTTGATTAATAATAACATGACTGAAAAAAATGTTAGCCATTTTTAAACAGATTTGCATACTCTGCCCTGCTGCGTGTCCCAAACGGTGAGGTATGGAGCATGCTGGGCCTCACTGTAGTTGGAGACCACCAAGTACCCTCCAGTGTGAGTGATCGCGGCAGTACGGAGGCTCAAATGGGACCAGCGGTCCTCCAGGGTGTGCAGATGCTCCTCAGAAACCACACTGAAGACGTTGAGATGATGGGCAAAATATGAGCATATGACCACCTAAGTGATACACAGAGAAAAGTGAGAGAGATTCAAAGATGGCATTTCAGTTCAGTTCACAACCATGTAGATCACATATGGTTTATTATTTCATAATTCAGGAAAGAGTAGTGGTTTTGTTTATTGGTCAACTGTCTTTCTACCCGCTCATCACCGCTGAGAAGATACTGGTCTACAGAGTTGAATTTCTCTTTTTCGAGGCGCTGCTGTTCATCTTTTTCTCTCTTCACCTCACGGTCCCGTCGCCTCCTTTTTGCCGTCTGGGTTTCGGTGCGCCTGTCCCATGGCATTACTAGACCTGTGAAACAAGTTTAGATTTAGGATTGTTGTTTTTTTTATGTTGAATATGGTATGAAAATCTACGTGGGACTGAGATGTTGTATAAATGCAATGGTAAAGTCAAGTATCATTTACATTTTAATACCTGTCTTTTCTTTTGAGGACATAATTTGGGAATCTCTGTCCATGCTGGAGAGTAGGGTTTCTTTGTAGGACGTCTTGATACGTCCTTTAATGTAGCCAGAGTCCAGATCCCACAATATCAGATGATCCCTACATGCCATATCCATGCAACCTCATGAAAATTACTCAATCTAGACTAAGCAATATAGTAATTTTCTGTTTCTGCTGAATGAGGAAGTGAGCTCTTACCGTGTTTCTGAAAGGCCCAGCAGTATTTCACCATCTAAGAGCTGATAGTCTTGTCGAGGACAGGGCACGATGAACAGTCCAGTCTGTTTCTTAATGTAGCTCTTTTTAAGAAGGTCATACACCAGCAGTGTCTACAGAAACAAAGTGCAACAGGAAACAGTTTGCAGGGCAGTAAAATGTCATATATAACTCTTAAGTACAGAGTTTTTGCAGGTCATAACTTAAATCTTTCCTTCTTGTTGTTATTTTTAACTAAAACTATTAAAAATTGGTTTTGTTAAATGGTATAAAGTGTAATTAATAGATGAGTAAAAACTTTTTTAGGTTTATGTAATAAAAGTACTAAAACTGAAATAAAAATAATGCCAAATTGAAATATTAAAAAAATAAGAACAATAAAAACAAAAATATATAAAAATAAAAGCTAATCCAAAATATTAACAAATGCTATATGTTATTAAAATAACACTGCTTTCCTCATTTTTGTTTATTTGTCCCCTTTTTATGTATTTATTTATTTACATTTTACTGATTTGATTGATTTACTGAAAAATGACACTGATCATTAATAGCTAATGATCTCTTTTAGTGTTAACTGTATTTGAACAACACAATGGTCCTTCATCCTTGTGAAGAGGCATCTCATGAGTCACCAAAAAAGCCTTGTGTTTTAATTAATTGGAGACATTGCTGAAGATGGATGTGACAAGAGGGGCGGGGCCGAGAGCCGTGGGAACGGAACGAGGCCGGTGGAGTAAATGGAGGAGCTCCGGAAGGATAAAAGGAGGAGTGACGACAGTGTTGGAGGAGAGAGGACCAGACCTGGATTCTCTCTCCTCCAACACTGTCGTCACTCCTCCTTTTATCCTTCCGGAGCTCCTCCGTGGGACTCGAGACCGGTGAGTGGCGCAGGTGTCGTGCATTAGCATTTACTCCACCGGCTTCGTTCCGTTCCCACGGCTCTCGGCCCCGCCCCTCTCGTCACAATGGACTTGATGCAAGTGTGAGCATGGTTGATAAGCATAAACAACTATACTCAAATGTCAAACAACTATACAATCAGCTTCAGTTTCAGGTGACAGATCTCAGGACAGGGGTTTCAGACCAGCATAAATATGGGTCCCGTATAATACCTATAGTCTGTGCGGTGCACAGAAGTACCTGGTAGACAGATGTAGGTGTATCGGAGAAGTTGGCGGTTCTGCGGTCAGACAGTATATAGAGTTTCAGGTCTCGTACAAGAGCGATGTCTGAACTGGAGAACAGGCCATGCTCCACCTGCACAGGACGACCCTTGAATCGCATCCGCGCCACATTCCAGATTCTCACAGTCCCGGGACGGGTGCTTTGACACACTACATACCTGATTCAGAGGGAATTTTTAAAACTTTCCACCAAAAATAGCTTTCTTTTTGTACATATAACAGTGACAGACATATTTGATTAAATTCATGGCTTTTGGGTATAAAAAAACTTTAGATTCATGCATTTGAATTCATTTGGATAACACAGTTTGAACATAAACTAAGAAACTTAATGTGATGAATATTTGTCATCAATATTTGTACATAAATGAAACGGGTAACTCAAAAAATCATGGCAAAGTTTATTATTAACTTTGCATCTATTTGATTTTACGTAAATAATCATTTTCAAAATGCATTTATTGAAATAGTTTAGAATAAGCATAAATCTGTTAATTGTGTGAAAATAATTTAATTCATTCAGTTAAAAATATGAACATGGTTCCAAAAATTTCTGGCTGTGGAACAAGAAATATTCATTTAGTTAAAATGTATAAGATTAGAACAAATTTACTGATTAATAAACCTATACATATTCAGTTCATTTACCACTGCCATGGTAAAACTTTACTAGGTGGTGTCTGTGGAACAATTGCAGTAACTGAGGCTATTATAGTTACATTATGCACAGAAAAAGGCTATAAATATTCTGGTGCATTATCTCGTGCAGACTCGTTGTGTTTACAGTTATAAACTGCACATAGAGTGGCCATATGTATGCCAGCTGTTCAGAGGACTTTGTACCTTGGATATCGCTGCATGGTTACAATCTCAGCTGTGCCATCGCTGTGTACTTTGTGCACGTTATATGTGAGTGTTTGGTCATTTATTCTGGATCCTAGGTTCCACATGCGTAAGAATCGCTCCCCGGGACAGAAACCCACGCAGTACCACAGATCCGAACACACACCTGCAACATGGTGAAGAAGAACCATGTTGACACATACATACAAATACAGCTGTTGAGGAAATAAAATAGAAAAAAATATATAAACCAAAAATATATTTAGACCATTTAGATTTTTTGCATTATGACATTATTTACATGATAATGAATTTTCCTCACGGGTGTTTATTTTCAAGTTTGTTTGTCTCATCTATCTCAGTGATCAATGAAAAGCTTTTACTGCATGCCTGGATCAGGGTTATCATAGTTAACTAAAACTAAAACTATAAAAAATAAATAAATACATACAAAAATAAAAATAGCTGTCAAACAACGTTTCTTTTAATTTTAAAGTACTAAACTAAAACTAATAAATAACAATTACTGAAAACAATATAGATGAATAAAAAACACTAGGAAAAAAAACTATTCTAAATTTATAACGACACTATTGTAGTATATCAACAATATTAAAATGACACTGGTCTGGAAACAATTATTTTAGTAATTATTTTTTAATGTATCATTTATTTAGCTGTATAAATTACAGGCGCTATAACAAATGCTACCATTATATATAAATGGGACTGGACTCAAACAATGTGTGTTTGTTTTGACAAAAGAGTCATAATGGTGTTCAGTGCTGGAGACAATAATACTTAACAGGTTTATTGACATACCATGAGCCAGCAGGCCAGGAAACCGTGCGATGTGTTTATGATCTTCAGTCTCAAGGTTCCAGATAATAATCTCTGTGGTGGCGCTGTGAGGGGTGGGGCAAAAGGCCACAATGTGGGATCCGCCACCTGCAATGGTGACCTGGGAAATGTAGTCCTGACTGCAACCCAAGATAGAGCGCAGGTACTGGAAAGATGCTGTGCTGAAGAGTTCAATGTGAATGATTTCACTCTGTCTTTTATAGGGGTATCTGTAAAAGCCAAAGAGACAGATATAATGGATAATACAAATTTAGGGTTGCATCACAGTCATTTTCAGGTTTGGGTGAATTATTCTTTACATTACCTGCAGAAGAGCAGTAAATACTGAGAGCTGATCTCTACAGCCTGTATAGATGCTGCAGGGTGCTGAGCTTTCAATGTGACTGACACAACTCCACCTTTAGCATTGAATATTGCTGCTTCTCCTCCATCCCTGCAAATGAGAAGCAAGAAAGAAACGAGAAATTGCATCAAAGTAAGGCTTCACATGTAAGGTTTGTTCAAATATTTTTTAACCAGTCGTAAAGTAGTTTTTTAAATAACTCTTTTATTATTTGAAAGAAGTTAAGGCTCAGCAAAGATGCATTAAATTGATCAAATTGATCATGACAGCAAAGACATTTATAATGTTAAAAGATTGTTTATTTAATACAAATGGTCTTCTTTTTAAATTTTGATTCATCAAAGAATCCTAAAAAAAATGATCAGTTTCCACAAAATAAAGACTGGCGTAATGATGCTGAAAATTCAGCTTTGCCACCACAAGAATAAATTACATTTTACAATATATCAAAATAGAAAACCATCATTTTAAATTTTTTAAATTTTTTATCAAATAACTGCAATATTGGTGCGCGAAAGAGATTTCTTAAAAAATATTTTTTAAATCTTACCAACCTCAAACGTTTGAACAGTAGTGTACTGTATATATTTTCATAATTTTTATGCATGTGACATGAGTAACAGTGCTGCGCTTCGATTACTCACAGGTTGCGTGTTTGCTGTCAAGTCAAAAAAGGTTTTTAACTGTCCCATCCTTTAATAACATCCTCTTAATCAAAGCCTCTGTTACAATATGGCATATTCACTAAATAATGAAATGTGCCACAGAAACAAGTTCAGATTGAAATGATCAGGGACATTGTTAGAAATACATTTCAGCTGCTCTTTCCTAACACTTGGATCCTTAGGAGGCCATGCAAAGCAGCAGGTGCTACATGCAAATGTAAACAGCACAAACACACACTTTCCCATATCTTTCTCTTATCATACTTCTTCTGATGTTTAATAATAGCATCTATAATAATAGCAGTTCACTTTTTGAAATCTCAACAGAAGTCGTTGATGTGTAAATGTAGGCATTTTGTTTACATGTATTCATCTATCTGTGGTCAGAAAGCTGCTGAAGTATAAAAAAAACATTTGCATCTTAGTTTGAGTAATAGGTGAACTAGGGAAGAAGTTAGGGGTTCTTGACAGTATGTTTTCCACAGTACAATGAACTCTTTTATCACAAAGTATTTGACTCATTTTGGGTTTTTTAACAGAGACTAGAGAGGACACAGGAAATCATTAGGGAGAGAGATAAAAAAGGGAACTGGCACTCAGCAAGGGCCATATTCTGACCGTTATTCCTCATATGAATGCTTCATGTTTCCATAGCTCTGATAACTGTTATTTTAATAACAAATTCAGACTGTTTCATATTGCTAGTCAACCCAGTTGCGTGTATGTGCATGCATGTGATGCTTCCAGCTTAATCACATTAAGAGCAAAGGTTCATTACTCCTTTCAATCATCTATCCTGATTAATCCATGCTTTTTAATCATGTAATGAAATACGAGAAAGATAAACAGCTTCTGGGAAACCTTTACACATTTTTTTCCCTTTTTTTATAACTACAGCGTTACACGAAACCATCGACACAAGTAACCAGTTGTGCAAACACACACACATACACATTAGTGTTGGGTGAGAAAAGCAGACTCTTAAATAATACATTGTGTGACCAGACATTATAAATCAGTCTGAGAACAGCGGCATTGTTTTCACACATGGCTGGAAATTGGATATGTACTTTATTATTATGGGATGAATTTTCCTCACGGGTGTTTATTTTCAAGTTTGTTTGTCTCATCTATCTCAGTGATCAATGAAAAGCTTTTACTGCATGCCTGGATCAGGGTTATCATAGTTAACTAAAACTAAAACTATAAAAAATAAATAAATACATACAAAAATAAAAATAGCTGTCAAACAACGTTTCTTTTCATTTTAAAGTACTAAACTAAAACTAATAAATAACAATTACTGAAAACAATATAGATGAATAAAAAACACTAGGAAAAAAAACTATTCTAAATTTATAACGACACTATTGTAGTATATCAACAATATTAAAATGACACTGGTCTGGACACAATTATTTTAGTAATTATTTTTTAATGTATCATTTATTTAGCTGTATATATTACAGGCACTATAACAAATGCTCCCATTATATATAAATGGGACTGGAACATTAGTGTTGGGTGAGAAAAGCAGACTCTTAAATAATACATTGTGTGACCAGACATTATAAATCAGTCTGAGAACAGCGGCATTGTTTTCACACATGGCTGGAAATTGGATATGTACTTTATTATTATGGGAGAGCGCAATTGTTATTTAAGAACAAAGTACTGTGGTGATTAATTAATCTAAATGTGCATGCGTTTATGTGTGTTGTAATGTACTGATAACCTGTAGGCGAAGAGAACATAGTCTTTAACAGAGTGATGAGACACTAAGATGGACTGATCTTTGTGGATGGGCTCAAACTCAAGGGTGAGGTTTACACAACGCAACGGTGAACAGGACGCCACAAGATCAAACACCTAGGAGCAAAATAAAAGAGAAACAGAGGAAGTTAGAACCGAACTGATAACTGGTCATATTCTTTTATAATGTCAATGGCTGCTAATTGGTTAAATGCAAGTTACCATACACAGTAAAAACTGCAAATGGTTGAACATCACATTATATGTAATTTTACAGTAAAATACTGTCGAACTGATGTTTATTGCAAGTTAAAAACTGTAAATTACTATTTAAATTATTGTGAAAAACAGTAAAAGAATGTGACATCATATAAGAGTACAATGTACATAAATAGTTTATTCTCATTTTTGTTATTAGTAATGTACCTTAGAGTATTTTTGTTACATTTTATGTTATGTAGTCAGTGTTTATTGCATAGTTTACATATATTAGTTATGTAATTAGTAGTGCTGTCAAACGATTAATCGCAACTAATCGCATCCAAAATAAAAGTTTTTGTTTACATAATATATATGTGTGTACTGTGTATATTTATTATGTATATATAAATACACACACACAGTATATATTTTGAAAATATTTACATGTATATCCATTTATATACTTATATAAATATATTTAATATATAAACATAACATATTTTTCTATATATATATACATACATGCATGTGTTTGTATTTATATATACATAATAAATATACACAGCATACACACTTATATTGTGTAAACAAAAACCTTTATTTTGGATGCGATTAATCGCAATAAATCGTTTGACAGCACTAGTATTTATGTACTGTGTATATTTATTATGTATATATAAATACACACACACAGTATATATTTTGAAAATATTTACATGTATATCCATTTATATATTTATATTCTTATATGAATATATTTAATATATAAACATAACATATTTTTCTTATATATATATATATACATACATGCATGTGTTTGTATTTATATATACATAATAAATATACACAGTATACACACTTATATTGTGTAAACAAAAACCTTTATTTTGGATGCGATTAATCGCGATAAATCGTTTGACAGCACTAGTATTTAGTTACTTACTCTGATTCATCATGTGGCTTTCTATTGTACCACCTGTATTATTAAGGAGGTTATCAGTAAATTCTAAGACAAAAAGCTGATTTTGGTAGATAATATATTTATATATACAATTTATTCAAAAGTATGCCTTTTTACTGTGAATTTAACAGGATTTTTTTTGCCGTGTACAGTACATATAGGAAGAATGGTCTGCCTGAGGCTTCACCTTAACCAGATGACTTCCGTCATAAAAAACCACCAGCAACCGTCCATCGCAGGCAGTTGTGACCACAGGAACATCCAGAGAATCTTTCTCCATGTACAGCACCTTCCCAGAATCCACCTCTCTCACCTGGAGGCAGTGGCCCATCTGTAGCACAAGCACACTGTCATCCAGACAGAGGGTGAGCGAGTCAGCGGCCCAGTCTACTGCAGATCCATGAGTTCTCGGTAAGGACCTCACAGGTCTCGTTTGCTCATCCAGACGCCACAGATTTAGCATTCCATCACAGGAGCAGGAAATGATGTAATGCCGACCATGAGCCAGAGCTGTCACAGCACTCATATGACCTATAGTTAAATATGTCAGGATGTTAAAGACAGATCATTTGGCCACTATGTGATAAAGAATCTTATTTTAGAGTTCTATGCTTCGGTCATAAACCGAATATTAGAGTTATAGAGCTGTTCACTTATGAGGTCAGTCTGTAGGCCAAAACGAAAGGCTAGTTCACCATGGGTTCCCTTTGGAGTTTTCTATGTTTTTTTTTTAATTTTTTTAGAAAGACTGCTTTCAGTTTTTAGTAAAATAAGGTGTGGTTAAAAAAGCACTTAAACAGACTTCTTGTTCTGCAGCATACAGTAAATTCCACACCATCAATCCTCAAACGTGAATTTTGAAACCAATGCTAACAAGACAGCTGTGTGTTTAATTCCACGTGACAGATCATTCGCCAAACCGCATAAACTCACTTCCTTCTTCTGCTTGCAGAAAGTTTACAGTAATTTTGGCACTATGAATAAAATCCATATTAGCAATCCATGCATTTGAGAATGGCAAGAAATATATTATGAAATAAAAATAAAATAAGTCAAATAAGTTAGCATTATTTATATACTATCATAGTAACTATTGGTATTATATAGCTTTTATTTTCATATTTTTAGTTTTTATATTAAATTTAGTTTGTTTTAGTAATTTAGTTATGTGTTGTTTTCATTTCTATTTAGCTTTATTTTATTTTTATTTCAGTTTTAGATTTAATCATTTTATTATCAATTACATTTTTAATCAATAAATTTTTTTTAAGTTTAAAACTATCTTCTAAAATATATATATTACATTTTATTTCAGCTTTATTTCAAGTACTTTATTGAACCATTTTAATAGTTTTAGTTAACAACAACAACACTGGTGTAGTTTATTTTGTTATCTAAAAGCCGAACTATTACCCACTTTTTGTGTAAAGTACCAGGATGTGAGTTTATGTGCTTGTCAACTGACCTATAATTCATCGGACAACCGCTGTAGTATGTATCTGGTAACTTATCAACTTACATTTTTAAAGCATACAGTAAATTCAAAATTCACTCACGAGTTATGACTGTGTGTATTTTATGTGTCTTCACATAATGTTGACCACAGACTTTAATTTACTCATAAATCTGAAACCATCTTTCTAAAACTCCCTAGGAAATTCCCAAAGAAACCCAAGGCTTCAAGGCTACGATCTGACCAGTGCTACTGAGAATAATTTGTCATGTATGACTTAACGTGGCACTTAAAATACATAATTTACTAATCTAAGAATCAGAACTTGGACACACATTAAACCAAAATCACTGACTGAATGGTGATGCTGGGAAACGGAGCCCTCCAATGGATGTCCAGAAATTGAATATGTGTACCTGATAGGAGTGTGTGTACGAGTCCACCTGGAGGAAGCAGGCAGGTGTAGGAGGGCACGAGAACCGGTAGAGAAGATCTCTTGCACTGTGCCAACAGATCATGCAGAAAAGAGTATCGTCTTGGGTCACCTGAAACAACACGTGGATAGACATATGACTTCATGTTTGACACACACATATATATATATATATAGTGGGTACGGAAAGTATTCAGACCCCCTTAAATTTTTCACTCTTTGTTATATTGCAGCCATTTGCTAAAATCATTTAAGTTCATTTTTTTTCCTCATTAATGTACACACAGCACCCCATATTGACAGAAAAACACAGAATTGTTGACATTTTTGCAGATTTATTAAAAAAGAAAAACTGAAATATCACATGGTCCTAAATATTCAGACCCTTTGCTCAGTATTTAGCAGAAGCACCCTTT